TGGATCCGTTTCTGTCATGGTGCGCAATATTGGCCACGTAACTGCACAATACACGCTTGGTGTGGGGAACTGTTCGGGAAATGTTTTCCCCATTATGGCCCAGACCCTGAGTTTGAGACCACGAGGGACATTGATACGCAGTTTTGATCTGAATATCCAAGACGTGGCGGAAGAGAGAATTGTGCAATGCGACGTAACTTTACGAGACGCGAAAGGTGCTATCACGGACAAGAAGATTGTGAAGTTTCGAGTGACAAGTAAAGTATTAACAAATGATACACAGGGCGGCAATGCACCAACTGGAGGTGGTGCCAGCGTGGATGGTCAAGCCCCTCCAGCTTGCTCGCGTTGTGAGTGGTACAAGATTTCCTGTTTCCTGATTCATGGCTGTTGGTGGCAGCCACTGGTGTATGTTTCGATTGCCATCGCTATACTGCTGGGGATATATTATTTTTTCGGACTCTCCTCGCGCAGCAGTGAACCCAAATTACACGTGATTCACTGAGACAATGGCTTACTGGAAGTCTGTGGCTTCCCAAGGCATATTATTCCACGCCGGCGTGGCGAAAATACATCTCCATTCAGAAGTATTTTTTTAGTAAATAATACTGAAAAGCAAAATTGAATCGCCATATTATTATTATTTTTTTTAAAATTATATTTGTTGCTTTTATTATTATTATTATTTGTTCTGCTGGGAAAGAGTGGATGCTCGCTGTGAGTTGTTTTGTGTCCCCTTCCTCCCGTTTTGATCATGAGCTTTTTTTAATTTATTTTTTGCCTCGGGTGTGAGTTGGTTGAATGACGCATGGGCGTTCCTCTTTTTTCTTTCTGGGGGGCGCTACGCCTTCAGTCATTCAATCCTGCTGCTGCCGCTATGCTAGCAAGCCCGCCCTTGTGTTTTTTTTTGTTGTTGTTTTCTTGTTTGTTTATGTTCATCGTTACTTTTTTTAATTATTATTTGTTTCTGCGGGCGGCCATGGGAAAGAATTTTTTTTTCTTTTTTTTTTTTTTTTTTTTTTTTTTTTGAGCAGCGTTTACAGGATGCGTTTTTTCTGGTTTCTCTTTCTTGATTGTTTTTGGTGTTGGTGGTGTCATCCCTTTCTA